GGTTGACCGGGATGAGCACACGAATGGAACTGGATCACACGAACGGGAGCTAGTCGGCCGTGTCGCGCATCATGGATCGTGTGGAGTGGGATCGCTGGGTCGTGTTGCCTCGGTCGATTGTCGCGAGCTCACATGCGGGTCGCGATCGGGTCATGGTCCGTCGGCTCCGGGGTTGATCAAGATGTCTCAGTTACCTTCGAGATCTTTTACTGTATTACTCACACACCTCTTCAACTTGTATCCATGGAGCAACAAGAAGAAGATAAAGCTCGAACAGAAACTTAGAAAGAGAGAGAAACATGCGTGTGATATAATATCACGTAGGAGAAATCTTATCTCTTCTTCTCTTTTTCATGAGCCTAATGGTGTATATATAGAGCTACAATAGGGACCCTTAGGAGATTAGAAATAGGGCTCCTTAATTAATTAGACCAACTATGGGCGAAGCCCACTTTTCTAATTAATTAAATAATATTATGTGCCACTAACATAATATTATTGCACTCATTTTTCCTAGCCCAATCTACGATTGAGACTCCAATAATAATTACTCGAATTACCTCCCCATGTTTAAGATATAATGTCCATTAATTAATTCGGTTACTGACAATCAAGAATTAATTAATATATTATTATTTGCCCAAATCTAGCGCTCGTTCATCACATTATTACTATGTCGGAATTTAATCCACCTGCAGGGTTTATCATAATAATCTTTCATGAACTCACTTCGGGGACATCAACAAACTAAACGTACATGGTGACCGTAAATATCCTAATAGCACATCATATATACGGTAATATTACCCAAGACAGTAGGAATATTAATTCAGCGAACTGAACCACACCCAAGTGAATCAAAATAATATATAATGCATATATATATGTCTATTTAATATCTTACTGGTTAAGAGAACACAGTAATTAACCAAGGCCTAGTTCGTTTATGACGATCAATATAAAATGAACTTCTCCTCTCTGGATTTTGTTCAATACATAAATGTACTAGTGAAACTAATCAGTCAAGACAAAGTGTACCGTTGACACTACAACCGTTCAGATGGGGTGCTCATTTCCATCTAGGTTGTGAACCACAATTCTTGTTTTGGAAGTAACTGATAGAATGATCTTCGGTTTGCCAGATGACAACACATTCTATCTATATGCAAAACAACATAACATAAAACTTGTTTAATCTAACAAGAATCTCATTCATAAAAGGTAAAAGTGTAATATCATCAAAAGCCAAGATTTCAGTATATAACACTAACAATCTCCCACTTATACTTAAAGCTTTCGCTTTCACAAGTATAGTTCTATCATTTCGTTATTCTAAAAGACCTATGTGGATCCTATCGCCATACACCTGACTCCCATTCCTACCACGTGTTTGACGAAGACCTTCCCCGGCAAACTCTTCATGAAAGGATCAACTAGGTTGTCCTCTGATGCGTTCTTGACAACATCAACGTCTCCTCTACGAACTATGTCTCGTATCAGATGGTACTTGTGCATTATGTGTTTGCTTGTTATATGGGCTCATGGTTCCCTTGAGTTCGCTACTGCTCCACTATTATCACAATACATGGTGATACTACGTGGCAAACTCGGAATCACCTCTAACTCCACTAAGAAGTTTCTGAGCCAAACTGCCTCTGAGGCTGCTATGTACTCAGCTTCCATGGTGGAGTCTGCCACGCATTTCTGCTTAGCACTCCTCCGTGAAATGGCTCCACTTCTCAAGGTAAACACATAACTTGAGGTTGACTTACTCTCGCCCCTGTCTGACTGGAAATTGGAATCACTATAACCCAGAGGTAACAAGCTGTCTGCACGGCTTACATGTACTCCTTATTCCTTCTCAGGTACTTGAGTATATGTTTCACCGCAGACCAATATCCCCGTCCCTGATTACTTTGATATCTAGCTATCATGCCAAAGGCGTAACTAATATCTTGCATCGTGCACAACATAACATACATTAGACTTCCTACTGTCGAAGCATAAAAAACTGTCTTCATGTCTTCTATCTCTTGAGACATCTTACGAGTGAAGAGAATGTAATAGTTAACTGAGGCCTAGTTCATTTACCAAGATCAGTACAAAATGAACTGCTTATATTTGCGATCCGTTTAATACATTAAAGTACTAGTGTAACTAATCAGTCAAGACCGGCTGTACTGTTGCCACTGCAACCGTTCTGATGGCTTGTTCATTTTTCATCTAGGTTGTGACCAAATTATTTATGTTTCGAAAGTTACTGATAAATGATCTTCTGTCCATCTTTTATGAACTATTAATCTACGTGCAAAACAGCAGACATAAAACTTGTTCAAACATGAGTTTCATTCAAGAGAAGTAAACAAGGTAAATAACATTTAAAACAAAAGCTTCCAAGTATATACACCAACTCCTTTTCCTTTCGCTTTCTTGATTGAGGTCTTAATAGAAAAAGAGTACTCCACCTAAGCACATGCGCTGAATGGGGCCATCTTTCTCAGAGACATTTTCTCTTTAGGTTTCTTCTCCTTTACTGTTAGAGTCTTCATTTAGGCCTTCTGTCGTTCTTGCTGCTGCACTAGTGGTATGATTTGAGTTTCTGTTCCCATAAGAGTCTGTTTGGTTGGTTTGAGGGGAGATTTTCAAACATGGTAACCATCCACTACTTTCATCCATTTCTTAAAGAGTCCCTCCATAAGCTTATTATTTGAAATTTCTGTCTGAGTGCCCCAGTTTTCGACAATAGTAGCATACATTAACTAACTTCTTGTATCTGAAGTTACTGTAACCAATTGCTCTCTCAGCCTAATTTTTGTCCATCTAGAGAGTGGTTCAGACCGGTTTAAAGTCACCTGGAACCTTATGACTCTACCCTTTGTCCCCTTGCCTTAGCCTAGGGGTGGGACCGGTCCGGTTATCAGCCAAAAAAGAAAGAACTGACACATAATACATATGCAAATTTTTGGGTCGGCCGTGTTCTAGAAGTCGCTAGGCACCCGCTAGGCGCTCGGCCTAAGCCTAGCGCCTAGAGCGCCTAGGCAGGGCCTAGGCGGAGACTAGGCGGGGACTAGAAATTAATATTAAATATCTTATTTTTTTAATTTATTTTCACTACGTAAAAAATGAAACTACTTCAATTTATAATAAATGTCCACACACTTAAATCCAAACAATATTAATATTGATATTCAATGTAATTAAAAACATGATAGCAATTAGTAATCCATATTAGCAACCACATGACAAGTTAGTAATATTGTACTAACTACAATCTCAAAACAAGAAGCCAAGAACACAATGAACATAGATCTATACTATTTTATTTTTCTTTTTTCGAATTTAAAGTGTCAAATTTCTACTAAGTTATTCTCTTTGGTATTTATCGAACACATTGTCTACATTATTATGTTTTAAGCAATTACACATTATAATAACATTATTTCAACCAACCAACACCAAATTTCAGAAATTTCACACAACAAAGATTTCCAATAAATTTCATTAAATCTTAAGACTAAGAAAACCTAATTACATAATAATGTATAAATGACAATTAATTGAACTAACATAATGTCCAAGAATCCCATACAAATATATATTTTGTTTTAATTTCGTCCCTGCGTGAGTGACAAGAGGGAGGGTCAACTCCGACGGCGAGCCACGTCCGACGGCGAGTCACGTCCGGCAGCGAGTGGGGTCTGCCTGAAGAAGAAAAATGTGAACGGGGTTAGTGTCTGCTTCTATTTGGTCCAAGCCCAGGGCAGTTGAATTTTTTTTTTAACTTTCAACTTTTGCCTCAATTACAAAACGACGTCGTTTTGTAATAAACTAAAAAAAAAAACAGTCCTGTTACACAAAACGCCTAGCTCCGCCATCGTCCCGCCTAAACCCAACAAAGCCGTCGAATCCGCCTAGCCGCTGAGACCGCCGAGGGCCGCGGAAGCCGCCTAGGCCCGCCTAGGCGGCGCCAAGCCCGCCTGATCGATTTTTACCACCGACTCGACCAAATCGTAGGCGCCGGAACGCCGCCTAGCGCCTAGGCGCCGCCTAGGCGGCCGCGTAGGCCGATTTTAGAACACTGCGGTTCGGTTTAGTATAATTTTTTTATCAATAACCGAAGTGGAACCGAACCGACCAATTTTGGTCCGGTTCCTCTGGTTTTTTGGTTAACCGAATGCAACAAAAAACCAAAATTAATCGGTTCTTGTTGTAGGAACCGGTCTTTGCAATTACCTTACGACTATCATGAATTCATGATTCACCTAATACAGTAATACATATGATTCAACTTACAACTTACAAGCCAAAGTCCACATCCACAATACAACCTTCAGTAATCACAATCAGTACAAATTATAATCATGATTCATAAACCACAATACCACATCATCAAATCCAAGACCAACATACAAACTGAATTACAAAGCCAAATTCCACAAGGATACAATCCATAACCACACTTCCACAATCACAATCCAAACAACCACAATGCTCACATGCCACAACAAAACATATCAGTTACATAATACATAGTTGACAGTTCAATATTCAAAGTTCAAAGTTCAAACTTCAAGTTCAAACATTCAAATCAAAGCTCAAAGCTGAAATTCAAAACTCAAAGTTTAAATGGCAGATTACAATTCAAATTTTGTTTTTGTAAGAAGTCCCTGCATCAGAGCCTTTGGAGCCTTTTGCAACTTTATTTTTCTTTTCAATCAACTCCATTTCATTTTGTTTCTCCAACTTTTCTCTATGCTCTCTCTCCTCTTGGTCCAATTCTGCCAAAACATAAAGTCAGAAAGAAAAAAAAGGGGAAATAAATGACACTAATCAAGTAATTGCACAAATTACATATGTGAAATATAAGTAATAAGTATAACTCACCTTGTTCAGTTTTTTCAAGCCATTCAAATTCTTCTGAGGTAGGAGCATATGCAAGGGTTGTGTTGTATCAGACTTAAGCCAACTTTGAAGACAAATTAGTGCTTCCACTAATCTAGGAGTTAATGAACTCCTATGAGGATCAATAACTCTTCTCCCATTGCTAAAACTTGACTCAGAAGCAACAATACTAAGTTGAATGGCTAGCACATCTTTAGCAAGTGCTTGAAAATTAGGATACTTACCTCCCATTAGCCTCCACCATGACAAAATATCGAATTTAATTCTTGGATCTGGCTTCTCAATGGGATCAAGTAGATATATGTCCACCTCATGAGCAACTACAACAGCATCAACATCTTCAAGGTCTTTTTTCCAATCTTCCATCATTTTTGCTTTCTTCCCTCTCAGCTTCTTTGAAGAACACCTACAATATAAAACAATACAAGTAAATGAAACCAGAAACATGATGAAATCATGAAGAAACTAATTAACTATGAAATAAAAACAGAAATGTAAAAGTTACAATAAGTAGTTATTACCTGCTTCCACTCTTAGTCCCAGTTTCAACACCATCTGTCTTTTTTGTGCTAGAATTTTGTACACCATTCATTGAAGCATACAAGACAGTGAGAGTAACAATCAACTCTTTCAAACTTTCTGTCTTCACTTTTATAGTAAAGGCATCATAATTCAGCATCCTCTCAAGAACCTTAGTGAAATATCTTAGCTTGAACCTAAGGTCTAACACCAGAGCAACAACCAGAAGCTGATTTACATCATCTAGTGAATCAAAGTACTTTTTGTACTTGCTCCTCATTTGGACTGACATATTGAACAATGTTTTCTCAAAATATGTGTTGTGGTTTGTGATTGGTGCATCAAAAACACCTTCAATCTCACATTTAATTGAAACAATATCATGGAATGCTTTGTGAGCAGTAGGTTTGCTTGAAGCACTAACATTTAATGTAACATCAAAAAGCACTCTAAAAAACTTGACAAATGCAACAGCTTTTTTCCAATCATCATCTGTTGGAGGCCCCACTTTTTTCCCTCTCCCCACATCTTCTCCTTCTTCCTCATTTTCCTCATCATCCTCATCAGCCAATCTATCAAATGCTTGCCTAAGTTCAACAACAGTTTCAAGCATAATAAAGGTGGAATTCCACCTAATTGGCACATCCAAAACACACACCTTTCTACTCTGAAGTTATTCTTTTCTTAAACATTCCTTAAATGCTTCCAACCTTGAAGGTGAGCTCCTAACATATTTTACAGAATTCTAATAGAAGCAGTGACTTATCCATGCATTTAAGTCCAGATTTGACAATAAGATTGACTACATGAGCTAAGCACCTCATATGAAGGAACTTTCCCCTAGAATCAATTGTCTTTCACCATTGCGTAGTTTCTTTCTGATGTAATCTATTGCCACTTTATATGCAGATGCATTATCAATATAAATTGTTAAAATTTTCTTGATAGACCAATCCTGCAAACATTTTTCTAAAATCTTCCCTATAGTAATTCCTTGATGATTAGGAATCACACAGAAATTCAGCACCCTCTTATGCATATGCCAATTGCTATCAATGAAATGTGATGTAATGACCATGTAATTTATGTTTTAAATCAAATTCCATGTATCAGTGTTCAAACTAACACAATGATTCCTAAGTTAATCTTTCAAACACTCTCTTTTAGTATTGTACATACTCAAAAAATGTTTCACCACCATTTTTTTACAAGGAATCTTCCATTTTGGCACAACAACTGAACAAAATCTTTTAAACCGATTTCTCAATAGCACTAAATGACAATTCACCTATAACTATCATTTCAACAGCAGCCTTAGTGCAATTTTCTTGGGTCTAGTGTGGGACAGTCGATTCATTACCCTCTACATCTCTTGAAAAATGTCTTTGACCAGAACCACAATTTCTTGCACTACCCGGATAACCATCACAATGCAGTTCTAAATGCTTTTGAAGTGTACTAGTTCCATTTCTCGTTGAATTGCAGGCCAAGTCAGAATCACCATACCTGCATTAAGCTCGGTTGGTTAATCCAACTTGGACCATTATCCCTTTCTCGTTTCTACTCATCAACGGCTTCTGCACCACCGCAAAATGCTTCCACACCCATGATTTCTTCTTTGTCTTAGTTTGCTCGTGTGCCCTCTTATTCTTTGTCTTTGAATTTTGCCTCGATATTTTTTTTTGCCCTAATTTCTTGTCCTCTTTTTCGATTTCATCTTGATCTCTGTCTTATTTTTGAGAGTCACTGGTTTTATCGGAAGAAGATGTTATACAAAGTAAGAAAATCACACAAGATTGAATGGTCAAATAGAAATTGGGAAATAGGAATTCGATTTAAGGTTCTTTCTTTTCTGAATTTTCTGTCGAAGGAGAGAGTGAGAAGTGAGAAATGAGAAATGCTGAAATGATAAAATATAAATTGATATTTGATAAATTGATATTTAATAATAAATGAAAAAAATAAAAATCAGAAATTGATTTGGGTTGGGCAATGGAAAACTGGAAATGGAATTGGACATTGTGTGTGTTAGTGGCTCAAATTTCAACTATCAATACTAAATTGGGCTAGGCTCCTACTTATATAATATATATGTATTAAATGTATGCAATTTACTGGTTCCTCGGTTAAGTGTAAGCACTTTGTTCAATAACCGAAAACCGGGAACCGATTTCTAGCATGAAGAACCAAACCGAGAAAAATTGCATTTTTTTAGCAAATAACCAGACCGAACCGGTTAATTTCGGTTCGGTCCGGTTCGGTTTTCTGGTTCCCAATTTTAAAATCCCACCCCTACCTTCGCCAAGTTGACATTTTGAACTCCTTGGGACACTCCCCCCATCTTTAATCATACCTTAGTACAAAGCCAATTTAAGGGGACATTATGTGCCTGAAAGCACATTTTGATTATCAAAAACCCAATTCCTTCCCGACGAAACTTTTTCCATATCCTCCTTATTTTGAAAAATGAATTGGAAGAATATGAAGCTGAGTTCTCTTACCTTAAATTGGTGCCCTATTCCCAAATAATTCCCATCGTGCGTAAATGCCCACCCAAATCGCCTTTCTGTTTCCAATCAACTTCCCAAACAAGCTTCTTTGGCATTCTTCTTCACTAACAAAAAAGTCCTTCTCCTCGATATATATTACTAGGTTTTTAGCCTCTGAGATCGAGACTTTCCCCAACCTCTGTCCTAGTTCCTCCTCCAAGGTCATATTTTCCATGCCTGAGATGTTCTTGTCCCCCATTGCATTCCAAGACCAAAGCTGCACCTTAGAGAATACAACAAGCATCCAATGAACTGAGACACAATTCTCTGAAACCGAAACAAGCCGCACCCAAAGAAACCCAATCCAAAACCCTTGCAAACTGAAAAGAACCCTTTACCCACATGCAGAAGGGGAAGAAGCTCCTACACAAAAAGATCAAAACTCTCAATCGAGAGAAAAAAAACTCTCAAAAAGAGAGACTCAGTAAAATATACGAGTTTTAGTAATGAAAGTTTGATGTTGAACAAAAAAAGTCATGCTCCGAGTCAAACCTCTAATTATAGCCAACAAGACTATGGGTGCACAAAATATGGTTAACCGACTGAAACCGAAAATTCTATATCGACCGAAATAAAACCAAATATTTTGGTTCAGTTTTCAGTTTACATTTTCTTAATATTTCAGTTTTTTGTTCGGTTTGGATATAATCTCTCGGTTAACTGAATCGAACCGAAAACTAATATTGGAGTTTTTTTAATACAAGGCCTGAAAGATAGATAAACTATCATTCGGGGCCTGAAAGATTTTTTTTTTTTCTCAATTCGGGACCTAAATGTTATAAAACTATCAAATTAAGTCCTAGAATTAACAAAACCCATAACACCATTAAATTGAGAGTTAATTTGAAGTTTTAAAACATCAAATTTGAAGAAAAATAATAGATTGGTGCTTACTCACATAAAATAATAAGTAAACATTTGCATAATATTAAAAAAAAAGAGAGAAAAGAAATGGACGATAGCAAGAAAACCGAGCAAGAGCTTCATACTTTCGGTAATTTTCTCCAACGATCTCGTATTTTTCTTAATTTCCTTCATTTTTTTTTTACTTTGTAACAGATTTAGTGTTTTAAAACTTCAAATTAACTCTCAATTTAATAGTGTTATGAATTTTGTTAATTCTAGGACTTAATTTGATAGTTTTATAACATTTAGGTCTCGAATTGAGAAAAAACATCTTTCAGGCCTCGAATTGATAGTTTATCCTTCTTTCAGGCATTGTATTGAAAAAACTCATAATATTATACACGTATGTTGTAAAGGTCCAATGATATATTATTCAATGAGAAAATTACTCCTGGAACGATCTATTCCAACTTTTATTGCGTAAATACTTAACATTAATTTTATTAGCAAAAGTATAAGAAAATTACATTATATTTGCACATATACGGTTTAGAGTGAGAAGTGATGGCTGATTTCATTTATTATTATTTAATATGTAAGTTGAGATAAGTTAGGCAACATGCGGATTTAGTGGGATCGTTACCAAAACCATCAATACTTTCTTTATTGCAGTTATCAATTCTCCTCTCTAATCACCTATTTCATCTCTTTACTTTATCTCTATAATTAATTTTCTCTCACCGGAATTAACTAGAACCCTAGCAGAAAAAAAAAAAACACAAAATGCCAAAAAATAATATCCCTCTCAAGGTCGACGACAACCCTGCTCGTGGTGGTGGAGAAGATCCAGTTCTCATCTTCGAAATATGAAAGCTAATGTCAAATGAAAGCTTGTTGAGAATAAGCTCCAATTTAGGCATCACAAAGCTGAGAATAAGCTTCGACCGGAGCCAAGTCCTGTCGTAAGGTGCTCAGGGCATCACGAAGCCGGCGATTCGCCTCCTGGCTTGGACGGGTGCACATCAACGGCCTCATCTACAGGAGACAAGCGACATCCTGAAGATCTTCCTCGAGAGCGTTATTACGATGTCATCACGTACACTGAGCATGCCCGAGTGTATATTTTATGTATATTTTATGTATCTATTTTGTATATATGACAAGATTGATTTATCTTGTGTTTTTATATTTATGTCCTCCGTGTATAAAGAGTATATTTTTTGTATATAAGTCTGATAATGTATGTTGCATGTATTAAACAAGAAATTATACTATAAATATACAGACAAAACACGAGATGTAAATAACACAAAAAATAAAAAAAAAAGGATTACGAAAAGATAAAATTACCCGATTTATTTTGTATATTTTCTAGACTTATATATTTTCTGTATATATTACGTATATATTTTGTGTGAATGTGATTATGATTACTTGATGTTTTTCATAATTTATTTATTTTTTTATTGGTTTATAAACCTATAATAAACTAGAAAATTTAAGGTAAAAAATATTTAAAAATTTACATGAAGAGATAATTAAAATTTAAAGGAATGACATAAAGATAAGAGAGAGGTAGAAAATAACGAGAAGACATAGAAAAAAAAGGATGAATAGGGAGAGTGTAATTAAGGAGAATTTTTAGGAGTAGATAAATGAGAAAAGAGAGAGAATGTCTTTAATATGTAGTATTTGTTATAAATATATTAATATGGACATTACTAATATATAATTGGGCCTGAAGTCCAGTTAGTAGGATTAGGTTTTAGGTTTCTCCATTGTAAACTCTATAAAAAGAGTGAATACCGATGAATAAAATATAGACTTTTCTGCTTCTCTTTTTCGTTCTTTTACTGCACCTCTTTTATGCTTGGATTAATGGATGCTTGGTGAATATTGAGGACTCCAATTTACAACACGTTATCAGCACGCTCTAATCTATCAAGGTAATTTCATCCCCTTTGTTAATTGTCATGCTTGACTGAGCATCGAATTGTTTCGATCTGTTTGTTGTTTTCTTCTGGTCTGAATATAGGACCGATTATAGTTGATGTATTGCTTTCCAGTTCCTGAGGTTATTGAACAATATTTTATTGTGTCGATTGTGGTTACAAATTGATTCGTTGATGTTGAATCGGTATTTTATTGTGCGGAGGTTATTGAATCAGTATTCTATTGAATCAATATTTTATTCAATTCGTGTACATGGACCTGTTAG